CTCGTACGCACAACTTAATAACAAATCTGTGCGTACGAACCGTTCTTGCATGAGGCCCATTGCTTCCTGGATTGGCTTTTACTGGATCAAATATCTTTATTTTTCTTACTTCTATTGTTCTGCATCAAAAACTGTGGTTGAGCCCAATTTTTTTGACTTATGGAATTTGAATTATCTGCTTGTTGAAGTCAGTAAAAGAGACTCCAGAGGGAACAAGTGGAGTTCACAAATTATGTTCACTGTTTTAGACGAGGTCTAAATTTAAGCTTTCTGCAGAGGGTTAAATCTCTTATTTGTCATAACACAATCTTTGTATGAATTAAGTAGTTTTTAAAAATTTACACTGCTAAATAAAACTTTTTAGGATGATAAAAAATAAAGAAATATGAGGAAATGTCCATTAGCAAGCATCAAAAGTAATTTGAACAAGTTAAAATCTTTCATACATTTCCATCAAAACACCTTCCAATGATTTTTAACCTTTTATAAGTTACTTTTTTAGATTTCCCTTCGACCTTCCAAAAACCAAAACAAAATAAGAACAGTGGGAAGTTCAGATCAGAATCAATGACTGATATTAGAGCTCCTCGGTCCAAGCAGAAGCCCTCGACAGGAGCAGTTCTCCAGGTAAAAACTTTGCTCTTGTATCTAAAGTGGACAGTTTCAGATAACGATCTGGACGGAAGATGCTACGAGGAGGTTTTAGAGAGATCATAGTCCAGGATGAGCTGTTTAATGTACGACAGTTTTCCATGAAGATACTCGCAGCGTTTCTTTTCCTCCCTGTAGCTCGGAAACTTCTGTGGAAAGAAGAGACGCTTTGTCAGTAAAATATTTCCTGTTAGGACACGGGGAGTTGTTTTAAGTCGGCAGCAGTTTTTCTCAGAACTGAGCGTGTTCAAGGAGCCATCTACAACWTATAAGATACTGATTGCTCATAAWTTTTCCACAGAGCCCCCAAAACAACTGAATTATCACTTGTTTTAAATGTATTTGTCTAAAATGAATGAGGAAAAAAGCATATTTGACGACTTCACTGTTACCTTTCGATACTTCTTGTACTTTTCAAGTATTTGGTCTTCCATTAACTGAAGAAAACGAAGCACAAATCAACAAAATTAAGACAAAAATCATCGCCCTGAACTCCATATTTGAGTGATTTTTAGATACATTACCTTGTATTCTCGCGTTCCCGGGGACAGACTCTTGATCTTTGACCCCAGCTGAACAAATATGTGAGTTATGGCGGCAATTCTTGAATGGAGGTCCTTGTACTCATCGTACTCGGCACAGAAATCCTCCTGGTACCGCTGACGTTGATCCAAACTCGTTACGCTGCTGTACGCGCTGCAAAGACACACAGTCGGGGATTATGTAACCTGGGATTAGATAGATATCAACAAAGTGACTTTTCTTTTTGTGCACTATTTTAGTCGGACACAAGATGGCAGCACAGAGCCACAATGTTCACGTCCACAGTAAATGTTAGGGATTTAAAGCGGAGACGCTACAAAGATTAGCTACTTTACATGGTGTTTACTCTTACAGCACGTAATCCGGCTTCTCCTCAGAGGCCACAGCAGTTGGGATGTCAGGATCTGGAGCAAGCACACGAGATTAAAGAGAAAAATTAAGTTGAGCTGAGTCAGTGCAGTCAGTGGCACAGAGCTTAGCTGCTGTCTGAATATTCAGCTGTGTGTTTTTCTTTCCCCTGCTGCCACCCCCAATCACACACACACACACACACACACACACACACACACACACAAGAGCCACATGGTGGGAGTTAGTGAGTGTTCCCGCACGCCGCCCCAGCTCAGACTGGATAAGAGCCTGTTGGTGTCGGGGGACCCGGCCCACCGCTGGAGCTGTTGTTGAGTCAGTCAGCCACACAAGACTGAGAGGACTCAGGAGGGCGAGGTGAGAGGGAGCGAACGCCGCCAGGCTTCTGAGACCATAACACACAAATACAGACTGGGCTGCTGGTTAAAACTCAGAGCCACCTCCAGGCCTCTGAGGTCCTCTGTTTGTGTGTGTGGTTAAACCGGTTTTATACTCGCAGCTGGAGAGAGGAACAACAGCTCTGACACACAACAACAAAAAGGCTGCGGGAGACGTGTGATCACTAAAACGTGACGTGATAATATCACATCAAATCCAGAAAAGAAAACGTTGAAATGTTAATTTCAATTTGATCTTAATTTGATTTAGGTTTTTTTGTTGTATGTTGAATTTATGTTGTTTTGATTTAAATGAATAAACTTTATAAATAAATAAAGGAAAAAGGCACAGAAAAAAAGAAACAAATGTAACCTTACTGTCAACWTTCTCTGGATTCTGCTTGTGATCAGGACTGGACTTAATCCACTCAGTGTCCTTGTCGTCTTTTAACCTCTCCCGCTCCTTGTCCTTGTGCTTTTTAGACTTCTTCTTTCGGTGCTGGTTGTTGGCGAGGTTCCTCTGTGCGCAGTCAGAGTCGCAGGCAGGCAGCTGGAGGACGTTTGTTTTAGACTCCGGCTCCTTGCTGTCAGAAACGGGTCGGTCAGAGGGGCTGTGGAGTCTGTGCGTAACAGGAAAGCCACCGTGGGCTCCGGGGGGGCCGCACCGGGCGTCAGTGTGGCTCTGCGTCCTTTGAGGTTCAGAGTTTGAGTGGAAACTGGGGCTGAGAGTCGGCGCTGCGTGACTCTGAACTTCTTTGTTGTGGACGAGTCCTTTTTCCACTGACTGACGCTGTGACCTCTGGTCTGTTAGTTTCTGTCTCTTCATGGCGAGTCTTTCCTGCGAGTCCAATGACACAGACCGTTTCTGAAACACGAAGGAGCCAAAAACAGACAAACCGCAACATTTACTCCCAAAATATTTTCATTTGAACAACTTAATTATTCTTTTAAAGTCTTAGAAACCTCAAGTCACTTCATTTAGCCTCAGATGGAGATGAGAATAAAACCAAAGCATTTACAGAAAACAAACTGGAACATCAATTTCCCCAAAGATTAGTCATTTTTGTCTATACGGACAAACAAAACAAGAACTTACCACAGAAATGCTTTTTGCAATACTTTGATCTTCTGACATCTTTGTTACTGACAAACGTGTTTCAGTGTTTCTGGGTTGATTGGTGATGTGAGGCTGCAGCTTCCTGTTAAACAACAAAAACAGTTATTTATGAATGCACATCGCCCACTATCTCTAATAATAAAGTTTTAAAAAAAGATCCCCAACAATCTGGAGTTTGGTGTCCAACAAACTTTAGCTCAGTGTCTGTCAAACATTCATGTGTTTGCTGAAGTTGATTAATGGTAGTGGCCATTTTGGATCCGAATGACTCCAAATCTTAATGAGTTGTAGATGTTCATGTACAGATTAATTCGTTAAAATCTGTCCAGTAGTACATCAGATATTCTGTTGACAGAGAAGTCGACACACGCAAACATGACTACTCAGCTTTAACATTACAATGAGACGTACAAATAAAAAATACAGTTTCTGTGGACATTAAAAACTTTTAAGTTTATTCCTCAAAAMTCATGTGGATTTACAGAAGACCGACTAAAGCTGGAAAGTAGAACACCTCAGGCACGGACTGAACAGAAAAAAAATTAAAGAAGGAGGACGAGAGGAATAACGAGGATGACACACGCCTGAAGCTGAAAGAAGCGATAAATAGTGTTTCTAAAACTAATAACTCATTTGTCATTTAAGTCGTCTCAGTCTTTAATGAAAAATCAACCAAAAAGAAGAAAAGTGCTTACGAGTGAAAAGGAGTTAAAAAAAGTAACTGATGTATTCACGTCACCTGGCCAACAGCCTGCTGATCAGCAGTTTGTCCTCCTCGCTGTAGCCCAGCCAGTCCCTCTGCACCTCCTTGTACAGCTCATCCTTCAGCAGGTAGCTGCTGTCTTTGGGGTTCAGCTTGGCCACCTGAAAAATCACAGAACAGTTTGTTGGGGAAACATCTKGTCTTTCTGCTGCTGAAGACTTTCAAAAGCTTCATTAGATTCACTCGCTACACAGAGATGGACAAGAAGGATGCAGTAAAGAGGTTTTTTTTTTTCTGAGAGCAGCTGTTTGCATTCAGAAAGTCAATTTCTACAAAACCATAAAGGGGTTTTGCGTCATCGTGTCTTTTGTCAGCCAGACAACAACAAAACATTTTGCGATTTATGATCGTGTGAATGTAACAACAAGAACACAGAGTCCAGTCTGAGACGTTCTGAAAGTGGCACGTCTTCAGTCCTAGAAAGCGTTCTCTCCCTCTTTCCCTGCGCTTCATTTCCCATCAGAGAATATCAGGTTTTTATTCAGACTTTTAATTTGAAAACTGGTCCCTGAGGGCATCCATCTCTCTGCTGCCTCCTGACAGGACGGCCCGCCCAACAGCAAACATGATCTCTGAAGAGACCATWACTGCAGCGACCTAATTACACACACTCAATACCAAGCAGAAGTCTTGGAAAATACGCAGAGTTAAATACTAAACCATTATTGAGGATTTATTAAAAAAAACTGCACCTGAGAGTAACAGAAATGAAACTTTTCTGAACTTGATTAAATCACAGATGGTTCTGGTTATCACACACCACCTAAAGGCTCTGCTGTTTAGCAAAATCTCTCGTGAACCACTGGATGAAATTTAATGAAAATGAAAGTAATCATTGGGTGCACATTCAATATGGCTGCCACAGCCAAGTGAGCTTAGAAAACACAAAAAAGCCTGAAATTTTATCAATTTAGCAAACTTTAGCATCTTAGTCTAAACCTGATATTTGCAGGATTGATGTTCTCTGGTTTTCAAACAGCAAAGCAGATTTTTTATAAACGTACATTTATTTATTTTGGTTTGGTGTTTTAATGGAGAGTGTAAACACTGTTAGGTATGARGGCTGTTTAAAAACTACATTCAGTCAGGGTTCAGTGGGACTGGAAGCATTTTACAGAGTGTTAATGGTTGGAACGATGCTCATTTGCCTTATTGTTCAGTTACCGTATTTTTATCACAAAAACACAAACTACACAACCTGGTGTGTGGATGCAAACACGTTTTCATGTATTGTCTCTAAAATATAAACACATAAACAGAAGTGCCAGCTCATAGACGTTTTCTTTAATGTGTAAAAGCATGATTTGTGCACGTTATTTGTACAAACATTAAAGGAGATGTCTTTACCTCGTCCAGGACGGCGCTCAGCTCGGCCTTGTCCTTGGCTCCCGCTCTTTCTCTCTCCAGCCACAGAAGCAGCTCTGGTTTCCTGTACGGCTTCAGCGCCAGCAGGTGGACGATGCGCTCCTTCAGGGGCTTCTGAACCAGGGCGGCCGTGCTCTCCATCCTGCGGCTGTTGGTCGGCTGTTTATAGAAGTTATTTTCCGGAGCCGACACAGAAGCTGGTCTCTTCTGGTACTTCACACATTTACCTGAACACACAGGAAATGAAAATGATTTTTAGAGATGGGTGACGACAGACTGAGACAATTAAGAGCAGAGAATGTAACCCTAAAGGAGAATTGGCATTCCTCGAAGGAGTGTAAACTACCTGCAGGACAAAACATGAGACAAAACGGTCAGGTTTAGTCTCAATTTATCTGTTAGCACTCAGATCATGTATTTGAGAAGACTCTCAGCTACTACCACCCAAGTCTAAAATTTTCATTAAGTAAATCTTATATAGCCTATCTCATATCTAAAGAGACATTTAAGATACTGTATCTTGAACTGGAGTCTCCATACAACTTGATGACCAATCTAATGTTATTTATATTGGTCAGAATATAATTACAGATATCTTAAATAGATATTTTGCCTTGTCAAAATATATTAAGAGATGTTTATTTATTTGTTTCATTCATTCATAAGAACAAAACAATATGTACAGCATTAAAAAACAAAGTAAACCCTACCCTGAATTAAAAGGGTGCAGAGTGAAGGGAAAAAACTCTTATGTGTCCCTTATTTTCAAAAATCAACTTCAACAAACAAACAAGCTCAAGCTGGAAATATTTCAAAGTTTAAAAAATAAGTAAATAAAACAAAACAAAATTAAACTAAAACATTTTATTGTTTTATCTAGGGGTGTCCCGATCCGATATTGATATCGGATATCGGTCCGATATCAGCCAAAAAAACGAGTATCGGATTTTATCGGCCTGCATAAAACATGTCCGATATAAGCGCTCTGATATAAGCAGTTCAATCCAGCAGTTCACTGACTCCGCTCCAGTGTTTCTATCCAGCAGCTCTTGGATCCAGCATGCAGAGCTCACGTGATCACAACAACATGCTGCGCTAACAAGTTAGCAAGAATGTTGGCAGAACTTTCTATTTTCATCAGAAACAGAGTTGCAGCTAAGTGCAAAGTTGTCACGCACAAGTTTTCTGTTGGGGAACAGAAACGTGAACGTTTTAAACCGGAGCGACAACTACTCTCCACCCTGGCAGCAGCTTTGCTGTCGGTGGTTCTAAGCTGGCAGAAGCGAGGACAGCACGCTTACAGTTTTGACATCCCYTGGATTAGCTCTGGGATTGATGGACAGAAGAAAGGAGAGCGCAGCTTTTGTTTTGAAATATGAGCACGACATGATGAAAGCAGTGATAAAAACTGCTCCCTGCAGGAGAGAGAGGCTAATCTCCACATGATGCTCAGACTGTAGAAAGTGGAAATCCAGAGTAAGAAAGGTAGCTATCAATTTAAATAAGTGACTAACTCTTACTATTTACTTTTTGCTGTTGTTATTAGAGTGATGTTTAATCTGTTTACACACTTGTTTGAGTGAAGATTAAGTGCAATGATCACGTTGTTTTAGTTACAGTCAGTAAAACTGGAGCTGTGGACTCTTAACTTTGAACAGACAATAATGTGGGCTTTTGTTTTGTCCCCACCTTCAGTTTTTTCCACCATAAAGCAGCACCAGGCTGACAGGTAGTAAAACAATAACCTAAGTGATTTTGAATTGTTATTTTACACTTTAAAAGAACATTTTGTTTTTATTATGTTTTATTTTTCAGGGTATTATAATTTACTTTATTAAATTGTATAATGTTCTTCAGTTTAAAATGTATGTGATCCATTGGTTAAAAATAAATGGGTCAGTTTTTCTCATACCTACTCTTTTTCACTGTTTGACTTGATCAAGACTTTTCTAAGATTTTACATTACAAAATAGGTAAAAGTGTGTGACTTGTACTGTTATGGTAACGGGTCAATATCGGTATCGGACAATTCTCTAAGTTGTAATATCAGTATCGTATCGGAATTGAAAAAGTGGTATCGGGACATCCCTAGTTTTATCTGAAATAACTAATCAGTCTAATTTAGTCATAAAACAATTTCAGATTGATTTGATTTGATTTATTGATTTAACAGGAAAAGATTACTAAAAATCAAGCCTGACTCAGCATAATTGCTGTTTTACAGCAGGTTCCTGTTCTGCAGCGCATAAAACACTCAGAAATACAGCATCACAATCACATCATTATACACCATAAACACAAAGACAAACAAGCATACAAATTACTGGATTACTGGAATGTAAGAGTGGAGAAGCCAAATAAATGCAATATCAGCCTGCCATACAGTGAGCCAGTTGAACCCGCTGCTGCTGCGCTCATAGCAGAGAACGACCGTTACATTAGCAAGATAGATTTAAGACTGATCGAACATCCCCATCTTTTTATCATCTCAGTGGGTAACGATACATAAAAAACGTGTTTTTTCTCCGACAACTTGGGTGTGAAAAAACTACGGCTGTTAAAGTTTCACTCTGCGCGACGTGCAGCAGGAGGGAGGAGGAAATGATCCCGCGACACGACGGCAAGACGTGACTTTTCTACAGGGGAGGGGGAAATTTTGAGGATTTATTCTCTATACGTGTTTTAAAACGCCATATTTCTTCGTTTTCAGAATATTTTGAATAAATGGCCCTATGAAAAACTAAAGAAATAGTTTACCTGCCCGAATATGGGTTTTACCTGCCCCAGGCAGTCGGGCAACAGGTTTTGTCGAACCCCGACTACCACACCAAGTTTTAGCTCAATATCTGCAAATTTAACCGATCTATAGAAATTACCATGTTTGCTAAAGTCATCTGCAGTTCTTGTTTAGGTAGTTAAAAACTACGTACCATAAAGGCCATAAATTTGGTTAATATTAAGTCAGCACACAACATTGTCACGTATATCCAGGATGCATTTTAACAGTCAAACAGAAAGCAGGTTTCCTGCACCTGTCCCCKCATCTTTGACCTTCAAAGCTCAGATTAACCTGCAGCCGGATTAGCACAGAGAGGTAGCTTCAACTCAAACATGCCTCATCTGTTTGCAGAATGGATATATAAGCAATAATCAATCATATGTTTACATCCAAGTAAGAGAACAAACAAAATATTGTAAATGTGGCCTCTACTTCATTATATATAAGATAATATAAATGTATAATAGATTATGAGCGAGATGGGTGCTTTATCTAAAACTATGTTTCAGTAGAGACTCCTTTCAACATATACTGTATTTGCTTTGTCATCTTCAGCTTAAGATCTTAAGTTACACAAATGACGCAGTCTGAATTTGATCCAGATCAAGCAGAGTTTCAGCCTCCCAGGAGCTCCAGCCCTGACACAGAGGTCTAGACTGGGCAGAGAAAACCTGTTGTGTAACTACGACAAAAGGTTGGAGGAGGAACTGAGGACGCAGAGAAAGTAGCTGATTAATGAGCTGCGAAGCATCACCGCACACAAATATATTAGGTATTGCTTTTTAAAGATGTTTTTTAATCATTTCATTAAATTTTATACGTACAGCTGCCTGTCTTTTTGTGATCACAAATATTTAGCTGGTGAAAAACATAAGGTCCAAGTGGAAAAGTGTTTTATTTTAAATCAATTYTGGAAAAAAAAGAAGAACAACAGAAATCTTGGAGGCAGGTCTTGTTTAACCAACAAGCACGGCCTCCTCATCGGGTTTTATTACTCATCTCAAAATGAAAACGGCTGGTTTTTAGCTCCGAGCCATGAAAACAGCAATATTTTTCAAATACTCCCACTGCTTTTATTGGTCCTATTTTATTTCTATTTTTGTTTTTTTTATGACATCACTGGATCCACGAACAGTCTCCTGCCCCACCCTCTTTAAGAGTAAACTAATTTCCACTGTGAAATCTGCTGGTGAAGTTTATTTTGATGCTGGTTATTTTTCCCCACTGCCAGGGGGGCGGGGCTTTCTGTCTGATCTTACTGGGATGTGTGGCTCCAGGTTTGATCTCAATGGCCGAGCGGCTCCAGCTGTCCTTCTCCACCTGAGACATCCTCTCACGGGTCACCTGGTAGGAGTCGTCGGTGGCGCACACGGTGATCTTGTCCTGGATGCTGCCTTGACCTTCCAGCTGCTCGCGGCCGTCGCTGTGAAACAAAGAAACCAGCCAGGCGTTAAAGTTTGCTGCTTTCTGCTGACCTTACAGTAAACCCTGTAAAGATCTGGTCCTGTAGGCTAATAGTGTCCAACACAGCTTAACGGGGTTTTGTGCAGGAGTTCTTGACATGTGTTATGTCACGGGTTAGATTTAGCCCTGCGGCCTGGTCCAAACAGGACAGAGCTGGTGGAAAACCACCGGGATTACCTTGGCTCTGTCAGCATGCTTGCACAACATGGATCATCTTGAATAAAGGCAAATTGCTTCAAACATGAACCTGGAGTGCATGACTGCTTTAAGGAAGGATTTAGTGGAACCGTCAAATCCCATTTTTATTACTGCATATGAGAACTAAAAGCCTTCTATCCTCATTTATTCAATGTTAACTACATCTGTGGCCACCAACCAGCTTTTCTTTCTTATTCTTTAACTTTAAAAATACACGTGTGGACTGACTCAGACAGAGAGAACCTGCTCTCACGCTGCTGTCCTGTTTTTCTTGGCTTCTGCAAAAAAAAGAAAAAAGAAATTAAATTAAAACCCGGTAAACAGAATAGGGCTGCTACGATTAATCGATTAAT